GCGGCGGCCCTGCCCCGCGGGCAAGCCGACGGACAAGATCCCGGGGGGCGCCGACGCTGGAGCCTGCTGGACAATGCCATCGAGTCCAGAGGGGCCGGGGCGGGCTGCTTCCTCCTCCTCCCTCCTCCTGCTCCTCCTCCCTCCTCCTCCTCCTCCTCCGCCTCCTCCTCCTCTCCTCCTCTCCTCCCTCCTCCTCCTCCTCCTCCTCCTCTCTCCTCCTCCTCCTCTCCTCCTCCTCCTCCTCCTCCTCCTCCTCCTCTCCTCCGCTGGAGAGGTCAAGTTAGCGAGGTCGATCGAGTCAGCGGGCCCCCGCCAACCCCAACCCTCCCTCCCATAATCCTTCAGCACGCTGTGGCGAGGCCGTGTTCTGGGGGTTGGATCGCATTCCCTTCTACGGCGGGGGGAGAGGTCAAGTTAGCGAGGTCGATCGAGTCAGCGGGCCCCCGCCAACCCCAACCCTCCCTCCCATAATCCTTCAGCACGCTGTGGCGAGGCCGTGTTCTGGGGGTTGGATCGCATTCCCTTCTACGGCGGGGGGAGAGGTCAAGTTAGCGAGGTCGATCGAGTCAGCGGGCCCCCGCCAACCCCAACCCTCCCTCCCATAATCCTTCAGCACGCTGTGGCGAGGCTGTGTTCTGGGGGTCGGATCGCATTCCCTTCTGCGGCGGGGGGCGCTCGGCAAGGAGTGTGCCCAGGAGCCTTCGGACCCCGGAGGGATCCTTGTCCGACGAGGGCGGCGGTGCTACGCATGGCCACGCCGCAGTTGGTGCCTCACAGCCTCCAGACCGTGGACGCCCTGCTCACTCGTTCCCTCTCCGGCGACCTCACCGCAGCGAGGCGGGAGGCGCAGGAGCGCGGCCACGCCTCCACGACGGCGCGGCGAGAGGACGGCTGCGCGGGCCAATCGGAAGAGGCGGGGGCGGGGCTTCCGGGAACCTCTGCGCGGCGCTGCGGCAGGAGCACGGCTCGGGCTCCCACCGCGCGGCCGAGCCTCCCGACGACCGGGGCGGAGACGAAGCACCGGGCCGCGCCCCAGCGGCACCGCCGCTGTCACGCGCAGGTTGCGCGGTGCGGAGGGGTGAGGACGGCAGTCCGCCCGCTCTCGCGCGGCTCCGCCGCCGCTGCCGTTTGCATGCGGCGCCGGGATCGAAGGAACCTGTTCTGTTTTATTCTGGAGCGACAGCGGGCGTCATGGGTGGGGGGGGGCGGAAGGGGGCCGGTGACGTCACGTTTCGCGCGGCGGCGTCTGGGAACGCCTGGGAATGTCCGAGTGCAGATTGGAGCAGCATGTAGGTGGCGATCTGCACCACAGCCCCTGTCTGCACCACAGTGCCCGCGTGCCCCACAGCACCTGTGTGCACCGCAGCGCACACCACAGCAGCCGCGTGCACCACAGCGCCAGTGCGCACCACACTCAGTGCTTGCGTGCACCACAGCGCCTGTGTACACCACAGCGCTTGCGTACACCACAGCAGCCGCGTGCATCACAGCGGCAGTGCACAACACAGTGCGTGCGTGCACCACAGCGCTTGTGTACACCACGGCGTACGTGTGCACCACAGCAACCGTGTGCAACAGAGTGCCACCATTGCATATATAAATTTAGAAGGAATCCTTATGGCAGAATAAAGCGCCTGTGGATCCCTCATAAAGCAGTTGTTTCTTCATAGGGTTTTGACAGGAACTTATATGGAAAAAGGGGCGCCTCTGGAACAAACGAGTCCTCCCGACTCCCGGGTTCTCCCGCATCATCCTAGTTCGGCCCATCTGCGTCCAGAAGGCTCCCGCAGCGTTGGCCGTCCGAGAACCAAGTGGACTGATTCAATACATCATTTTTCTGGGATGCGCAGTCAGATGCGCACGTGTACTGTAGCGCCGACCCGCACGACGGGGGGAAGGGTGACGGATGAGGAGGAGGAGGAGTGAGTGAGAACAGTCGCGATGCGAGTCGAAACGAGCCTACGAACGCTTACGAGTGAGCTTCTCGGCCTTGCTTAAAGCCTTCGGCCATCGATCGGTTTCGATCCGATTTAAATACTCAGCTCGATTCGCATTCGTTCGCCTGGGACATTCCTGACCCAAGCACCTGATGACACTACTGGCATAATACCCGCATCGCGAGCAAAACCAGAGGCCCAAGGATTGATGCAGACGCATTGTGTGGCTACGATGTACCCAGCCCCCCCCTACATGTAATGCAACCCCCGACGGCAACGCAGAGAACCTACCGTCCACAGGAAGAGGTTTAAAACAAGGGGATAACATCCACTCGGACTTGGCGGCCTGGGTAGCGGAGCTACAACATATTTTACAGCGCTTGCCAGAATCATCAAGGACGTGACTGGTGGCAAACTGGCGGCACACAGAAGGGGCTGGAGGCGGCGGTGGTTCACACGCAGCCTCTTTTTTTCTCCTTGGACCACCGGCCTTCGCCAGCTCACGCTCAACATCCAGTGAATCAATCGTGGCACGAACAAGCCTGACACGAATCTGATATGCCTCTTTTTCAATTTTGTGCACACGATAGCGCTCGGACTCGCCCAAGCGCACACGACTGGCAGCCAGCCCAGCGAGCTCGTCTACCGCCGCGTTGCCAGCTGCGAGCCGCCACGGCGCAACTCCCTGGGCAACCTGCAGCGGGGACAGGTGCGAGTTCACGAAGAGGACCGTGAACTCCGCTGGGTCCCGCCCTGTGAGGGCCTGGCCGACCTGATGCCACAAATCCGCGTCCTCGCCGACTGGCCACAAGTACCTCCTCGAGTACCAGCCGTCCGCCACGCCACTGTTGTCCGTGACGAAATTGACAACTCCTCTCGACATCCTGAGTGCCGTGAGCAGGGCGAGCAACTCTCCGCGGGGCACACTCTGCCGCACCCCTGGGAGTCCGCCCATCACCATGCCGTCGATGCCCAGCGGGTCGAAGCTCCTGATGCTGATGACCGCCAGCCCGACGCGCCTGAAGCGGCTGTCGGCCGAGTCGGCGCCGCCGCTGGCGTCGCCGAACAGCCATAAAGGCTGCTGGGCCGAACCGGCCCCGAACGCCAAGCGGTCGTCGTCGGCCGCTGCTGTGCCTGCAACAAACCACTCCTCGGCCGTCTGCGGGGGACTCACCGCAGTCCAGGCTGCTGGGATCAACCCCCGCAGCCAGTAGCACTCCTCGCTCTCGTGTCTGCTGTAGGCCTGCGCCACCAAGTCCTGCGACCGATCGTAGGCGGGCGAGCCGACGTTCTTGCAGCACGCCCACCCGCGGTGGAACATGGTCTCGGGCTCCTCGTTGCACCGAGGGCAGAGACGTGATAGCCCGAGCGCCTTCGCCCCTGCCGCATCAACTCGCCGATCCCTCGGCCAGCTGCCGCCCGACGCCACCATGCTGAGCACCTCCGCCATCCTGTTGCCCCTCGGCATGCTGGCGAACTGCTGGTGGAGCCTGCGCAGCGACATCATGTCCACGCCGTGCTCGACCCCGCCGCCGCAGAAGTGCTCACTGGCCTTCTGCCACAGCTCCGCCGAGATCGAATGAGGAGGAGGAGGAGGAGGAGGAGGAGGAGGAGGAGGAGGAGGAGGGGAGGAGGAGAATGCGGAGGAGGAGAAGGAGGAGGATGATGAGGAGGAGGAGGAGGAGAGGAGGGGAGGAGGAGGAGGAGGAGGAGGAGGAGGAGGAGGAGGAGGATGAGGAGGAGGAGGAGGAGGAGGAGGAGGAGGAGGAGGAGGGAGGGAGGAGGAAGAGAGGAGGAGGGAGGAGGAGGAGTAGGAGGAGGAGGAGGAGGAGGGAGAGAGGACATGCCCGAACTAAGGCTCGGGGCGCATTCTGCAGCTGGCCTAGGCTCGCAGCCGTGAGGGCCACGCGCCCGCCACGAGCAGTGCGGCACCATGGCGGGCACGCGAGAAGCCAGCGTGGTCTACGCGAGCATGGGCTTCGAGAAGTGCTGCCCTCCGGTGTGGGATAAGCTCTACGTGCAAGAGGGGCTAGTCGTGACGGGCGGGCTCGATCAGGACAAGTTCTTTCGTGTCGACAGGATGGTCCGTCCCGGCAGGCGCATCGTAGTGTACGCGCCGGCGAGCCACGGAGGAAAAGGCTTGCTCGGCAGCGGCATCATCGAGGCGCCGCTCTGCAAGGTTCAGGAGAGGAAAAAACACACAGACACAAGTAATCCTCGATTCCCCAGAAAATATGGGAAAATATAGGAAGTGGGGGGGTAGACAGAAACCCAGAAAATATGGGAAAATATGGGGAATATGTTTATTTGTGTCTATTTATTTGTGTGTCATGGGGCCCCTTCAAAGGTGTCTGAGGGCACCACCTTTTTCAGTTGTCCACTGGCCGAGCGCCTCCGAAGCGTTATGGGCAAGATCTTCTCGGACCCCTCGAACGAGGGCATGTTTTCGAAGAGGAACCAGTTCCTCAACGCTCAGTACAAGTGCCACAAGATGATCAAGGACCACATGGGTACCATCTGGTGGCTTTCGGCCCATCCCGCCACCGTGCCTAGGTTGTGGGTGAGAGTTCTCAGGGATGCGTCGGTCCGTCTGGGAGGCTTCTTGGGCCGTCTTGGGGCCCTCTCCTGGGCCGTCTTCGGGCACTCTTCCCAGACCCCCTCGCGCTGTGAAAAGACAGCATCACGACGAGAGGTTTTTCGCTGCTTTCGGCCTGCCTCGGAACAGCCCGGGAGGAGAAACCGGGGTCCCGGGGAAGTGGTCCAGGCTATTTATATCAAGGCTGTGCGCCTCACTCGCCCCTGTCAGAGGGTAGACGTGCGATTCTCCATTATGCAGCGGTGTCAGATCTGGTCGGCCGACACTGTGTGTGTCTCAGGCTTGGGGAAAGAAAAGAAAGAAGTGGTCCAGACCTCCGGGGGTCGACGTTGCGAACAAAAATCACGACGTCGGGGGTCTGGGTGGGGGGCCTCTGCGGCCGTCTTGGGAAATGGTCCAGACCTCTGGGGGGTCGACGTTGCGAACAAAAATCACGACGTCGGGGGTCTGGGTGGGGGGCCTCTGCGGCCGTCTTGGGAAATGGTCCAGACCTCTGGGGGGTCGACGCTACGGACAAAAATCACGACGTCGGGGGTCTGGTTGGGGGGCCTCTGCGGCCGTCTTGGGGCGTCTTGGAGGAGGAGGAGGAGGAGGAGGAGGAGGAGGAGGAGGAGGAGGAGCAGGAGGAGGAGCAGGAGGACGAGGAGGAGGAGGAGGAGGAGGAGGAGGAGGAGGAGGAGGAGGAGGGAGGAGGAGGGGAGTCTCGTGGGCCGTCTCAGAGCGGCGGAGAGCCGACAGGGTGAGAAGCCAAGAGCCTTCCCACTCCCATAGGACACCGCGGACGTTTGCCTCTGGGGGCCCTCTTGGGGCGCCTCTTGGAACACTCTTGGGACGTCTTCGGGGCTTCCTGGGCCGCGTTGAGGCCGTCTTGGGCGTCTTGGAGCCATCTTGGGCCTTCTTGGAGGCGTCTTCGGCCCCTTTGGGCGCTTTTTGGGCCCATGTTTTACCGGCTGCGGCAGCTACTGGAGGGCGCGCGCGACACGCCCGGGGAAACCCAGGGAATCCGTGGAAATCCTTGGGAATCTGGCGGCCCGGGGCCCGGGCCCTTGAAACCTTTTTGAAACCTTGCAGCTCGGATCTTCTCGGGGCTGCATGGGCCTTGGGGCGCTCCACTGCGTGCTGCCGGCACGATGGCGGATCTCGAACTGGGAGAGGGGGCGCGAGACCTGGACCTCCCTGGACAGATGGCGGCGCTTTACCGTCAAAAGTTGCCCGCCGGCTATGTTGCCCGGGAGATGGATCGGTTGCGTAAAAGTGAGGTGGGAGTCCACGGTCCCCTTCGAGCTCGGTGTCATGAGCGTGGACGGCATCCCGAGAGTGTCCCGGAGGCTGAGCGTCACGGTGTGCCGATGGGGCGAGCCGCAGATCGAGGCGAGGAGATCCAGAAGTCCTACCTCCCCTCTGGAAGGGACCCCCGACTCCGATTCAGGCAGGGGTATCTTTGTTCATTCTCTTCCTTCTGCTGCCCCATCAGGGGGGTCGTTGACGGTCCTGCCCCAACGTGGGAGCACCCGGTCGCTTTTGGTCCAGTCCCTGCCTTTTTGATGTCAGCGTGAATCTGGTTTCGGATGTACCCCCCGTGTGTGTGTGTGATTCGAAGTGTTGTTTTTCAGCACCTGTCAAAATGGCCCTGTCTGTATAGATGTAAGGCCCGCGCCTTCTAACAAGCGGCATCCTTCTAACAAGCCTCTCCCACTCCCCCCTATACCCCCCCCCCTCTGCGCGCCGCCAGAGCATGTCTGGGCCCCCTCCGAGCCTACGGGTTTGTGCGCGCTGCCCGCGCGCCGCTCCTCTCTGCAGAGAGGCTCTGTTGGCCGCGCTGCGGCGCCGCGGGGCCGCGGCGGCGAGGGGCGCCGCGGGGGGCGCCGCGGCCACGCCCGCCGAGGCCTCCCCCTGGCCTCTGCCGCTGCTCTGAAGTCGGGCGTGCCTTTGTGCAGGAGGCAAAGTCGAAAACAGTCCAAGAATAGTACGTACGGGGACGATTCTTTGATTCTTGACTGAGTATAAACTGGTCGGACCATTTTAATTATCATCCAAAATCCTTTTGGGAAAAAACACACAGGCACAATTAATCGTCGATCCCCAGGAAAATATGGGAAGTGTGGGTAATACAAAAACCCAATACAGATTTGAAGATCTGGGGAATCCTGTTATTTGTGTGTATTTACGTGTGTGTCCGAGGGCCCCTTCAAATCCGCGCGTGGGAGGACATGCCCCACCTGCCGCTGCTCCTCCGCGCTCCGCCGCCCCTCTCCTGGGGCACGACGACGGCGGCGACGAGCGACGACGGCGGCGAGCGACGACGGCGGCGACGACGACGACGACGACGACGACGATGACGACGACGACGACGACAGCGGAGGCGGCGGAGGCGGCGGCGGCGACGACGACGACGACGACGACAGCGGAGGCGGCGGAGGCGGCGGCGACGACGACAACGACGAGCCCAGCGCCAGCAGAAAGCGGCCGACGCAAAAGCTGTCCTGGGGAAGGGGTCGAAGGCCTAGAGGCCTAAGCTCTGAAGTCGAACATGTCCGTCTAAAGCAGGCAAATGCAAAAGTAGGCCAAGCATCTGGGGACGAATTTTCTATGATCTTCTGACTACACGGGCGTGGTTAAAGTTGCTTGTTTGGCCGAAGTAATGGCTACGATGCGTCCAAACGCTAGTTGCCCAACCGTGTGGAAACGGATTATATTGTTTCGGACCGAGTTGGAACCGTCAGAACAACATTTTTGTGTGGATGTCCCACGCGGTTTGCCGTTTTCGAACCGCCATCCCAGTGTTTCGGACCGAGTTGGAACCGTCAGAACAGCAATCTTGGTGAGGATGTCCCACGCGGTCTGCCGTTTTCGAACCGCCATCCCAGTGTTTCGGACCGAGTTAGAACGGTCAGAACAGCAATCTTGGTGAGGATGTCCCATGCGGATGTCCCACGCGGTCTGCCGTTTTCGAACCGCCATCCCAGTGTTTCGGACCGAGTTGGAACCGTCAGAACAGCAATTTTGGTGAGGATGTCCCACGCGGTCTGCCGTTTTCGAACCGCCATCCCAGTGTTTCGGACCGAGTTGGAACCGTCAGGACGACATTATTTGTGAGGATCTCCCATGCGATTTGCCGTTTTCGAACCGCCATCCCATTGTGTCGAACCGAGTTGGAGCCGTCAGGACAACAACTTATGTGAGGATGTCCCACGCGAAACGATCATTTTTTGTTTCAAACCGGATTATATTGTTTCGAACCGAGTTCGAACCGTTTTGAGAGACAATTTTGTGAGGATGTCCTACGCGGTTTGCCGTGTTTGAACCGCCATCTTGTTTGGCTGAATATCATATTGGTTCAAGGAACCAAGTCCCCAGTTCGAACTCCGCCCCGAAAGCGAGGCACCTCCCACGCAACAGTGTACCAGGCTCCACGTCCCTAGCGGGGCGACTAGCGCCGTGTGCTCGCATTGCGTACGAAGCATAGATGCATGTTTGCCGACCCGTCAAAATTGGGCAATCTTTCATCACGGCATAGCATGTACGATTTATTCGGATTTCTTTTATTCTTCCCTCCAGAATCCGCCTGTGGGAGGACATGCCCGACCTAACGCTGCTCCTCCGCGCTGCTCGGCCCTTCCCTCGGGGCACACCAAAGAACCACATCCGTGTTGCTGTTGAATAAAGAATGTAAAACGGATCTGGGCCTCCTAAATGGGGTCGGAGTGGACTTGAGGTCGGAGGATCGCGCCGCATCGCCGATGCATCGCCGATGCAGTTCGACGTGGGGCCCGACTTGCATCACGTCGACATCGCCGACGCATCGCCGACGTCGACGATGCATCGCCGGTGCATCACCGATGCATCGCCGATACATCGCCGATGTATCGGCGATGCGGCGCAATCCTCCGACCCCATCAAGGAGGCCTCTACAGTCGGCCCAGATTTGTGGGTCGACCCTGCCAAATCAAGGGTACCCTCGTGTCCTGTGTCTTGCGACCCATGCCTCCTGCATTTCTGTGACAATGTGGCCCTCGGAAGGGTCTTGTGTCCTCTCGCGTGTCCTCTCCAATCAAGTCCGACTGTACAGGAGCCCTGTGGCAATAGAAAGAGAAGACGACGGCGAAGAGACGACACGACGGAGGGCGCGGGGAGGGGGGGGTGCAGCGCGAGAGGGGGAAACGCGCGCCGGGCGCGCGCCAGGAGGAGGAGAAGGGCGAGGAGGGAAGAGGAGGCGGAAGGAGGAGGAGGAGGAGGCGGCATCGCGGTCCGATTTTGTCCTGGGCCCGGCTTCGTCTCGGCAGGGGCGCCAGGGCGCCGCGGAGGCGCCGCGCCCCACGGTGGCCGCCCACCGTGGGCGCCGCCTGCTGCGCCGGCGGCTTCCCGCCAAGGAGGGTCCGGGGCTCAAGGGACGGGGGTTCAATGCAAGCCCAGACCCCCTCGCGCTGCGAAAAATTGACGATGGGAGATTAGTTTTTATTTTTGGCCTCTGTGGGCCCTCGCTGGGCCTCGGGGCCGTCAAAAAACGGCTCTGGGTGAAAAGCCGGTCCTGGGGAAGGGGTCCAGAACACTGGGGTCAACGTCGTGAACAAAATCATGACGTCGGGGGTCTGGGGACGGGGGTCAATGCAGACGGGGGTCAGTCAGAGCTCCGGGTCTTCAGGATCCTGCAGAGCCAAGGTTGCATTTACCCAGGGTTGGGTGCAGGATCCCGCAGGATCCCGCAGGACCTTGCAAGGCCTGGCTGGACCGGGTCTGGAGTGACTCGGGCTGGAAGATTTCCCAAGGGTGCCTCATGGCGCCAACATCGCAGAGCGGATTTCGTTTACAAAACAGTGGGATGGGGGCCCCGGAGTGTCCTGGAGAGCTTCGTGCCGGATTTCGAAGTGATTTTGACGCGGATTAGTTTCGAAGCGACTGTCGTGGCCAGGATGGAGAAGTACAACACGTCCACGTGACATCCAACTCGTTTTTCGCTCGCTGCTTGGGGGTCTTACGCTGACTCAGCCACGCGCAGAGGGGGGTGGGGAGGGGGGAGGGCTTCTTAGAAGCACCCCTGCTTCTTAGAAGGCGCGGGCCTCATACAGATGTGAGGCCGGCGCCTTCTAAGAAGCAGCCTCCTTCTAAGAAGCCTTCCCCCCTCCCCCACCCCCCTCTGCGCGCCGCCAACTGACAGAAAGATCCACGTAAACATCCGCTGCAGCACGCCTGCAAGGTCGGTGCAGTGAGGGTGCCAGGCCCTCCCCGGGGCGGGGCCGTGCCGGCGCCGGCGGCGCGCAGGAGTGGCCATGTCCACAGCGGGCCTTGGAAGCAACAGGGCCGTTTTTTTCAGGAGGGGACAAAAACACACAGACACAATTCATCGTCGATTCCCTAGAAAACATGGGAAAACAAGGGAAGTGGGGGGGACGACAACAACCCAGAAAGTATGGAAAAATATGGGGAATCTTTTTATTTGTGTGTATTTATTTGTGTGTCCCAGGGCCCCTTCATTTTTCACCATTCCCGTTTTGCTTTTTTTATCGGTTCCGACCCCGTTCTTTTTACCGGTCCATCGCCGTGTTTTTACCGGTCAGCTCCAATCCCAGAGCCGTGCTTGTTGCCGTTTGCGGTCACTTTTTTTGCCGTTTCCATTTTCAGGAGATGCTTTTTCACAAACGGTGAAGAAACGGCCCTTCCGGTTCCTGGGCCCACTGAGGCCTTGTCCCAGTCCCCCTCAGGTAATGAAAAAATCACGACTCCAGGGTTTGCTGTATTCTCGGCCTCTGGGGGCCCTTACCAGTCCTCGGGCCGTCAGAAAACGATTCTGCATATGGAAAATCAGTCTTGGGGACTGGGTCGGGAACTCCCGAGATCCACGTGATGAACAAATCATGACGTCGGGGGTCTGGGTTCGTGCGCTTTGACACGGGGGTCATTCGAAGCGGGGGCAGCCAGAGCGCCAGATCTTGCAGGATCCTGGAGAGGTAGGGTTGCATGGACCCGGGCTTGCGTGCCGGATCTTGCAGAATCTTGCAAGATCTTGCAAGGCCTGGCTGACCTGAGTTTCGATGTGGGTTCCAATTTGTTCAACGGAGTCACACAGTCAACCCGCATAGAAGTAGGGGCAACCTTCCCGAGGGTACCCTTGCATCCTTGCCTCCTCGGTCCATCCCTGGCCTCTTTCGTTGGCCGCGCCACGATCGAAAATCTTCGAGACTGCCTTCCAAGGCCCTTACATCCTTATCGCGCATCCTTATGATACGGGTCGCATGTGCTGCCGCTTTCCGCCGATTCGAGTTCTCCCGATTCGGCTGCCGATTTCCGTCGACCAGATTTATCTCGATAACCGATCCGGCGTATCGATTCGATTCTGGGCTCTCCTGCTTTCTCGGCTACGCGTGAGAGTAACCTTACATCTGGCATGTCCCTCTACAGAAGGAATGCTAAAACATAGTCGAGCAAATAAGTTGGGGACGCATGTTTGACTATTTTCGATTATTTGCTGATCATTTGTTTGTTCCCTACCTAGGCTCTGCCTAGAAGGGTTCTTACTCTCTTGGCTTAAAGGGGCCGGGCAGTGTAATGCGCCCCGGGCGGTTCCCCCAGGATCCGTCCCGCGGTTCCCCCAGTTGCGCCCCCTGGAGTCACCCAGCTTAGCTTAGCTTAGCTTATCTCATCTCATCTTAGCTTAGCGTAGCTTAGCTTAGCTTAGCTTAGCCTAGCTTAGCTTAGCTTAGCTTAGTTTAGCTTAGCCTAGCCTAGTTTAGCTTAGCTTAGCTTAGCATAGCTTAGCTTACCTTAGCTTGGCTTAGCGCAGCGCAGCATAGCGCAGCGCATCATTAACACAGCATAGCATATCTTAACATAGCCAATCATAGCATTGCATAGCATAGCAGCATCGCATAGCTTAGCATAGCATAGCATCGCATAGCATAGCATGGCATGGCATAGCATAGCGTAGCATAGCATAGCTTCGCATTGCTTAGCATAGCGCAGCGCAGCATAGCATAGCATGTATATGTAGGTGTAGATGTAGGTGTAGATGTAGAGATAGATGTGAGTCTCGCTGTTGATCTTGATGTAGATGTAGATGCAGGTGTATATGTATATGTAGCTGTCGGTGTAGATGTAGATGTTGCTTTCCTAAATGCTCCAACTCCTAGGTAGGGTCGCACTGGGATATTTTTTCTTTTCTTCCAGAATCCGCCTGTAGGAGGACATGCCCGACCTGAGCGTAACCCTTCGCTAGCGTGACCACTGGTTCGGGCCCACAGGCGTCCCATGCGCCCTCCCTGCCAGTACTGGCCTGCGCGCTCGAATTCGCTCCCCACCCATCCCACCCCGCCCGGCCCCGAAAGCCGCGCACCGGAGGTCTCTCTTGCCCAATGCTGGCGTCGTGCAAAAATCTGGACGGAGGGCTTCTTTGGAGATCGCTAGGGGGGCAGCATCGTTTCCCCGGAGGCCGAAAACGGCGAGAAGCCCGTCTTCTCGCCGTTTTCGGCCTCCGGGGGCCCCAGCACCGTCGACAAAGCGACTCGGGAGGACAAGCCGGTCCCGAGGAGCGGCTCGAGGCTTCCGGAGGCCCCGTGCACATGAGAGGGGGCAGCAGGATGCCGGCCTGGGGAGCAGGGGCGGGCACCCGCGGAAGCGGCAGAGCCTGTGCCAAACCCAGACCCCAAACGTCATGATTTTAGCATGGCGCGACACCCAGTGGGGGAAACCACACACACACACACACAAAAAAAACACCAAAAAACATACAAACAACAAACAAACACAGACGTGGGGAAAAAACACAAAAAAAACACAACAAAAACACAAACAACACACACAGTGTGTGTGTGTTCCCCCCCCCCCACAGTGTGTGTGTGTGTCCCCCCCCCATTTTAGCATGGCACGACACCCAGGAGGTCCGGACCCACTCCCCAAGGCCCGCTTCTCATCCTGAGTCGTTTTGTGAGGATCCCCAAGCCCAGTGAGGACCCCGGCGCATCGCGCGTTTGGGTTTGTCGCTCCTCCTTCCCTCGCGCGCCCGCCCGCGTCGTCGTCTCTCCCCCTTGCACGCTGGACAATTTGATCCTCGCTTGCCCCGATTCGCTCCACGCTGGCGCGGACCGCCCCTGCCTCGCCGCCGACGGGAAAACGAATTCGGCTTTATCGGCCTGGGGGCTGGGGGAGCGGGGAAGGCCTCTTAGAAGGAGGCCGCCTCTCAGAAGGCGCGGGCCTCGCATGCATAGATGCGGGGCCGGCGCCTCCCAAGAGGCCGCCTCCTTCTGAGAAGCCCTTCCCCCCCTCCCCTCTACTTCGAGGCGGGGAGCTATGCATGACGGCCGCCTGGAGGATCGGTTTCCGCGGACCTCCACGGGCGGTGGATGTGGGTGTATACGTATATATGCGTATATATATATGTATACATATATGTGTTTATATATATATATATATATATATGTCGGCGCATACGTATACATACGCGTATACATATGCATGTATTCATGTATGTATGTATGCATGTATGTATGCATGTAGGTATGTCGATTTGTATGCATGAATGTATGTAGGTGTTGGTGTAGCATTGTACGTATGCATGCATGCAGTCATGCATGTATGTATGAATGCACACATGCATGTATGCATGTATGTATGTATGTATATATTCATGTACGTATACATATGTATATATGTATGTGTGCATGTATGCATAAACACATGCATGGATCGATGCTTGTATGTGTATGTGCATGTGCATGTGTATGTGCATGTGCATGTGTATGTGTATGTGTATGTGCACGTGTATGTCATGTTTGTATGCATGTATGTAAGTATGCATGTATGCATGTGTGTATGTATGTGTGTATGTGTGTATGTATGTATGTATGCATGTATGTTTGTATGTATGTACGTATGCATGTATGTATGCATGTATGTCAGTTTGTTTGTTTGTTTGCATCTATGTATGTAGGGTTGTCTGTAGGTATGCATGTATGTGTGTATGTATATATATATGTGCGTATATGTAAGTGTGTATGTTTGTATACGTATGTGTGTATGCATGCATGTGTGATTGTGTGGGCATGCATGCATGCATGCATGCATGTATGTATGTATGTATGTATGTATACATGCATGTATGTATATATGCATGCATGTATGTGTATATATAGTTGTATATGTATGTATGTGCGTATGTATGTGTGTATGCATGTGTGCACGTATGTATGTATGTATGGTTGTCTGTGTGTACGTATGTGTGTATGTGTGTTTGTATGTATGCATGTACGTGTGCACGAATGTATGTTTGTATGTATGTATGTATGCATGTATGTATGTACGCATGTAGACATGTAGAGATGTATGTATACACCCATATAACTGCATACTTATACAATACAGATATGTCGAGGTATTGGGCCCTG